CCTCCTGTCTCTCATTCCCTGATTGCTCCCTCTGTGTATATTAGCCCTGTGTTCTCTTTGGTCTGTGTCGCGATCTCCCCTATCTACCCTTATTTTATGCTGTGTGTTTTACCTGCCTGCCTGTGTTTATTCTTTGTATTTTGGAAGTTTGTTACTTTGAGTTCAGCATTAAAGCTCTTTTTTGAATTAACGTCTGTCTCCAGAGTCTGCACTTTGGGTCCTTTTCCTGCCTGCACACAGCCGTTACATAACAAAAATGGTTCTACAAGCTAATGAATTGTGTGCTATTGTATTCTGCATTCTGGCTTAATATTTATTAAATAAATAACAACAATTAATATGTTGCAAGTTGTTTTTTATCTGAGTCTGTATATTTAAAACCAGTTCAGGACTAGATCATTTTTTATTATCTCTTGATGTTAAAAAGAAAACCAAAAAAAAAAAGACTCCATGACTGCATTTACAGCCATGGTAAAAAAAAAGAAAGAAAAGAAAGCACATCATCTTTCAGTTATATCTGGTTAGCCAACTACCATTAGTAAAAAAAAAATAAATAAATTACCATACACATTTTGCTGTAGTTAAGTACTTTAAATAAAATGATATTTCATTTAAACTATAGACTAGCTTGCAGCTGGTCTATACGGGGGAATAAGCTGCATTTCAGTAAAGTTTTGGTCAGTAAGATACAGCAACAAACTATTTTTCGTCTCCAAAATCACATTCATGCAGATTTCTTCTGCTCTGACTTTTTTCCCTTTATTTAAATAAAACCTGCATATATTTTCACAATATGAAGTCATGTGCTCGAAATTAATCGGTGCCCTATACTTTATACAACTCTGCTCCAGTACCTGGTTATTCTCAAACAATTTCACAAGATAGAACTCTATTGACAGGTGGTCCCAGCATTACAACTACAGAGCAAAAACCCTGAAATTCCTCCTTTCATTTCATTATCATATGGGTTTTTCTGTTTTGATGAGAGCACAGGATCCGATCCAGCTTGATCAGAGTGTAACTGATGCTGCCAGGCTCTTGAATCCAAGCTCAAGTGTCAAAACATCCTTGTTTTTCCACAATCTGTTCCTCCTGCAATAGGATTAACCCTGGGCGGCTATTGATGAAGCATATTTCATCATATGAAAGAACTGCCAGCAATTGTCTGACTAATGAGAATTTGGCTGAAAAATATATACCCCTATATATTATTTTGTTTGCAGAGACATTATAAGATGCTTCAAAATAACTGCCAAAAAACAGGGCCTCAAGGCATTTCAAGATACCTCAAACTACCTCTGATGGGTGTTCTAAAATTCAGAGCCATGGATATCTGTTTCTATGAAAGTCCATAACACCTTACCTTACCTGAGGCCATTCCTTAGGGGGTGATGTCGAAATTGTTGAGAAGTTACAATAACTCTCTTTAGCTAACTTTAGCACATAGACCACTCAGCGAGCTTGTGGCAACACACAACTTACAATCATAACAGGATTTTCTGCTTTTTCTGCTATATGCACATTTTTTACTGTAAATTCCTAAGTTAATTTGTAAATTTTGTAGTAACCTGTAAATTGTAAATATTGTAAAACTTTTTTTCTGTCATTTAATGGTTGGGCATTGTACAGCTACAAGCATTTCACCCCCATGTCATACTGTGTATGGTTGTGTGTGTGTGACAAATAAAATTTGAATTTGAATTTGAGACTTAGGTGGCGGAAATGAGCACCAGTCCAGTGAAAAACCATGAAACTGTATTGTGTCAGTAATAGATCTTCAATGAGAATGCAGTCATAAAAGTGTATAATTACAGTATATATGTGTGTGTTGGTTCAAAGTGAAAAGCCATCTGTTCTACAGCTCCACCATTACCCGTCGCCTTGCAACGGTCATGAGACTTATTATTAAAGACGGCCAGCCTCCTTCTCAATTAGGACAGAAAAGACACAACATGTGGCAGCATGAAATTCTCTGTGACACCACAATCTACCAGAGCCAACAAAGCGAAAGAGGGGGGGAAAAGAGTAAGGTCTTGAATTTGTGAATAAAATATGATGGATAGTAATGGTAAGGAGTGGGAGGCAAGATGAGGAATGATCCCTGATTGTGCTTGTCTTATGAGGAGCATCCATCAGGAGTGACATCCGCACAAATAAAACCCAACCCCCCCATATTCAATTATATAACGCGAGGCAGGTTTTACACACAAATGCACACACCAAACCGTATACGCAAAATGTGCTCATGCCCAAGACATTCATACAGACACGTGCACGTTATCAGAATCTGATGTGACCTATATTTTGCCTCATTCTTGCAAGAGATTGGTTAATCTCTGAGGAATATTTATTGCACACTGGCAGGACTTTTATATGTAATACAAGCTGACAGTTTCACAAAATAAAAAAAGACTCAATAGAGATCCAACTCACAGTCGAGGCAGGAATGCACACACTCGC